CAACGTTTTGTTCAGACAATTTCTCTGTACTTGGCATAGAGTCATGCCTTGTCACTTGTCAGATGTTATAGGGGGTTTAAATTGTTCGACCATCGAGAAATGGTATGAAGCAAACGGAAATTGCCAGAACAGTAGGGTACCTCCAGTGTACTGTATCCAGAATCATATAACGTCATCGAACTGTAGGAAACGGTGTTCCAGGAAACTCTACTGGTAGACACCAAAATAAACTACTTCCCATGATGACCATATTTTGATCAAGTTAACACATGAAGGTTGAAAGAAGTCTTGCAACACTTTATGACAGGACTGGCATGAGCACATTCATTCCAGGATATCCAGAAGAACAGTGAATATGAGACTGACCAAACAAGATTATTTTCCAAGAAGGGCTACCTGCAAACTGATATTAACCACACTTCACCACCATCACCGTGTTACTTGAGAAAGACAGCTTGAAAACTTACAAATAGGAGAATATAATAAATGAAGGAAGACTGTCTTTCCCACAGGGAGCACACAAGAGGAGGTGCAGTGCATGTTCGGGCAGCTATTGATCATGGGGAAAAAACTACTCTTCATATTCTTCAGGGAAACATCAATGGCGCCTCCTACAGGCACTACATGGAGACATTATTTCTGCCGTATGCTAGGGCAAGGTTTGGCAATAACTTTAAGTTCCAGGATGACAATGCCACTACCCACAATGCGCGTATTGTACTGATCATTTCGACCAGGAGGACGTTACAAGATTGCCATGGCCAGTAAAGTCTTCACATTGTAATCCCATTAAGAACGGTTGGGCAGAAATGAGCCGGAAAATTGCTAACTACGACCCTAAACTAGCTCCTGTAGCTGAGTTGAAGCGCCTTCTAGTGACAAGTTGGGATAACGTCACGGTGGATTACATCAATAACCTCGTCGACAGTATGCCACGTCACCTTGCAAATGTTATTGGAGTACAAGGAGGACCAATCAAGTATTAAATGTTTAATATGAACTGATATAAGGTTGCAGACGCTATTTATAATAACTTGATGTTATGTTTTGTTATTATATATGTCTTGGTAAGGTTTTGTTGTGATAGGTGAAATGCTGAATTACAAATCTTTCTACAGATGTCTGATAAAATTAATTGCTGTCAATGATGTCGATAGAACCTGTCACATTATACAAATTACATATGTAGATGTTTAATATAGCAAGCATTTCTAAGTTTGACAGCACTGAGTGTTTTTGTATTCCATCTTAATAATAATGATTTTATTGGTTACAAAATATGCAAACATTTTGGCCAAGACTGTATAACTGTCTTCTGTTTGATGTTTCTTAGAACAAACATGACCTGACAACGTTTTTTCGAATGATTTGTCTTGTTAACCTTAATATCACGCCTACTATCAGACTGATATACGACCTTTGACTTATACAAATAAGAGATTATTAGCTGAAATACCAGTATCCACAAGCTAGTCGCCAGGTGGTGTAAATAAAATAAGCAAATGTTTAAAGACTTGCATAGAAATTTATCTAAATTTAATTCGTGCAATCAACGAAACAGGTATAGCATATTATTCAGTTGATTAACTGAATGTTCTGTGTTATTATTCTACACACATATAAGCATATAACACCCCTAAATATTATTTCTAGTGTGTATTTCTTTATTTCTAGCTGTTGTTGTTGGTGGTTTTTTAACGGTAACATCTGTCTATGCAAACCTGCAACGAACGTGCTAAGTTGTTGAAAACCATTGTTATTCTGGGAATTGTAAAAATTCTATTCAAAATGTATCGTAGAATTCTTAAGATGTATCTCGGTTAAGACTTAGTTATTTTAATATTAGACTTGCATAACAATTATGATCTTTAAAGGATATTACCTCACGGGCAGCTATAGCTACAGATCTGGTTTTGTAGGTGGTTTATTAGCCTTCTTTTTCTAAATCAGTATTCTTAGCCCTTTTATAATCTTTTTTAAACTCAAGATGTTAAAAGAATTCTTAATCAAACAAGACGGTCTTTCCACTTCATAACTTTTTCGTTTTCTGCAGAATACATTGTCATCAGTAGTAACTATAGTTAGTAAGAAATTCCATATGCGTGAACAGAGTTAAAAAAACAACTAATATTCTAAAATCCCTAAGGGGATGGACAAAATTACCCTTACTCCACATTGAATTATTTTGCGAATACGTTGAGCAGAAAAAATGTATTAGTAAAACTGTTCTTGTGGCCAGACTGAATATTTCATGCACCATGCACGATCTTATCTCTTTTATCGAATATATATATACCGAATTTTCTAACTGGTAATCACCTCAGCGACTCGAAACGGAAGTAACGACTAAAGAAAAAATTAACAACGATTTAGCTTAATCCTATTATTACCAATGGTTCTTTTTCCGTGAGTGACGTCTAATAGGTTTTAGGAACTAACTTGTTGTAAATCGTTTTTACTGGTTTTAGAATCTGTTCTTAAATAATTATAGCATAAAGCCACTTTCTTCTTACTGTGACGTCACTGTATCTGACTGAAAAAGAAAAAAAAATAGACACTCTTTAACGATATGAAAAGTTGTTGTTAATATAAGATTATGATTTATACAGACTGTAATAAGAAAACAGTGTTGTTTCACATATTTGCAAATTGGAAAACTCAGTTATGGTAAATAATCAAATTAAAAAAAAAGTAATGATGAACGCCATGCAAGGATGAAAATCTGCCCAATATGTAAACATGTTAACCCTCTGAAACATATAATACTTCTGTATGTATGTATTTACATTACGATAAACCCTAATATCTGAAAACTCTTTTTTTTCTCTACATTCTAACATTTATTAGGACAGCGAGGGGGTGAGTGATTATGATTTTACTAAGTGTGTTTCGTTTCTTATTCTATTACAATTATTTGTCTCATACCTCAAGTGTTTATCGTTTCATTTCCCGATACAATGATTTGTCTCATTGAATAAGTATTTTTCATTTCACTACTAAATACAACGATTTGTCTCATACTATAAGTATTTTTCATTTCACTACCAAATACAATGATTTGTCTCATACCATAAGTATTTTTCATTTCACTACTAAATACAACGATTTGTCTCATACCATAAGTATTTTTCATTTCACTACTAAATACAACGATTTGTCTCCTACCATAAGTATTTTTCATTTCACTTCCTAACACGATGATTTGTCTCGTTGCATAAGCACTGCTTAAAACGACAATTTTCTCATAACATAAGAATATTTGTTTCACCCGCACCTAAAAATTGATTTCCAAAATATAACGAAATTAGACATTTTTTTGTTGGTTTATGCAGGAATTCTAAAATGAAATTTGCCTTTATGTTGCTGCAGTTCCATAATGAACTACATTCATCTTTATCTATAGATCCAGCACATTGTTCTGCTTTTATAATTTTTTGTATGTTTGTCCTTCAGTTACTTACCTCAGAAGTTTGCTACACAGATATAGTTTGATTGCTGCTAGGTTTCACTGAAAAAAATACTTAGAAACTCAGATATCAAATCTAATGTACATTATTTTTCTCTGACAACAGGACCGAACTCGAGCGCAGCACAACCTGGTGTCGCTGCTGGAATTTGCTATAGCACTTATGTCACTGTTAGATCAAATCAACAGGGAGTCTTTTCAACGCTTTAGACTGCGTGTCGGTAGGTGGGACCGTTTTATACACCTGTAGAACATTATGTGCAATGAAAAGTGAAAAGTGAAAGCTGTCATAGATAATATTGAATAATGTTTTAATGCAAAGCTACACAGTGGCCTGTTTGCGCTTTGTCCACCGTGGGAATCTAACCTGTAATTTTAACATTGTAAGTCCGCAAACTTACTGCTGACCAACCTTGGGTCTTCTAATAATGTTGTTATTATTAATTTTTAAACTTATGAAGTTGTTTTTTTGTTGTTTTTTTGCACTTTTAGTAATCTTCTATGTCGATTGAAACATTCGAGATGTTACTGGATTTATTGAGAAAAACATCTTCGTCAATAGCAAGTATTAATGATTCGGTGTACTAAATTTTATGTTTTAGTTTTTGGTTCTGGCATGGCCTGGTGGTTAGATCACTCGACTCGCAGTCTGTAGGTCGTGGGTTTGAATCCCTGTCACCGAACATGCTTGCCCTTTTAGCCGTGGGGACGCTATAATGTTACGTTCAATCCCACAGTTCGTTGGTAAAAGAGTAGCCAAAGAGTTGACGGTGAATGGTGTTCATTAGCTGCCTTCTCTCTAGTTCATCACTGCTAAGTTAGGGAAGGCTAGCGTAGATAGCCCTGGAGTAGTTTTGTGAGAAATTCAAATCAAACCAAACTAGTTTTCGTGTATATTTGTATGTAGCGTTAAGTATTTCTAGTCAGATTGTTATAAAGGATTCTCATTAATAATTCTGAAGCTGCTTTTTAGTTGTGCTTACTTTTGATTAGAAGCTATAATGAATACTTCAACTTGTGCCATAGACAACAAAGTTATTTTAGAAATCACAACTAGTACCTTATGGATATTCCTTTTTGTGTTGCAGGTATTAACCACGGTCCTGTCATAGCTGGTGTTGTTGGGGCACAAAAACCACAATACGATATCTGGAGTAACACAGTTAACGTGGCCAGTAGAATGGACAGCTGCGGCATAACTGGCCGGATACAGGTTAGCGTTTGCTTTGTGTTCTCGACCGTTTTATTTCGGAGTAGCTTATAAAACGGTATTTTTACCATGCCTGCTTGTTTCAGAGCTACGTATAAAAATACACAGCTTCCATAGTTTGGAACGTATAGACTAAAGGGAAGACAGCTCATAAACAGCACACACAGTCAATTCACGGGCCAATCCTGTCTGATCCAATAGAGAGATCTGACCGTCATCCACAGCTCAAAGTGTGGAACACGTTGGTACCGTAACGGGCCACAAAGAATGAAACCTAGGGTTCACAGACCGAGCACGTTAGCCACTAGGCCACGCCCAGCTAGCTTGACTCTACCTTTGAATGTAACCTTTGTTTGTAATTAAGCACAAAGCTACACGATGGGCTATCTGCGCTCTGACCACCACGGGTATCGAAACTCGGATTCTAGCGTTGTAAATCTGTAGACATACCGCTGTACTATTGGGGGGCTGAATGTAACCCATAGTATAACTTAGCGTTTGGGCGCAAATCATCTCTGGGGGGCGAGAGCGAACGATTAGGGTAGAGTCAATAATGTGATAATGCAAATTTAAGCGTTCTTATATATATTTTTAGTAATGATAATAATAAGAAATTACTACAACACACATATAGTACTTCAGTGTATCTCTGTGTATTTTATCTGGTCACTTAATTCGCTCTTACACTCATTTAAAAAAGAAAGAAAGAGGGGAGCACGCAAGAAACCATATTTGTTAACAGAGGGCGTGGATGACAGAAGTTTGAAAAACGCTGGTATTACCAATAGTTTGCATTATTCTGTTGAGAATACCGTAATAGTATGAATTTTTCTACTTTCGGTTAGAATATATTAAACTGTAATGGACATACCTCCCGGAGATAATGTCTCTAACAGTTAACTTCCTTTCAGATTTCTTATAGTATACTCCGCTTCTTCGACTATAAATCTGTATGGATTAATATAAAAACTCCAATTCCGTTGTATCGCCTGTCCAAGGTTCGCAGCTTGTCAGTCCTTAAGCATATTTATAAGATTTCAGTATGTCATCCTCGTATCAGTCGAGACTGCTTTCATCTCATCAAAGCATACGTTGTCTTAGCAACCACATTCCAGTGACGGAAAACAAGCGACCTTGCATGTAATGAGCCATATTGTACAGCTCTGAACAGCTAATATATTACTCGTCTTGAAACAATATCTTGCTTTATTATACCGCCAGAAATGTGCCCTGTTACGGGTAGAAACACCGATATATGGGGTTTAATAGGTACATCTTTTTCTAAGAGGTGATCGTCGATACATCGATTTAACTTACAAAACATAGTTTCACAGAGTATAAGATTTTGGTTGTTTTTTGCCCCTTCACCGGACCTATAAATAAAGGTTCACTGTGGGGAGTAAAAGACAATCAAAGCACCATACATATAATATCCAGATCACCATTATTTTCGATTCGTTCTTGTCCGTGAATACTGATGAGGGGGTGGAATTTCCAAAGCCAGTCTAATTCATTCCCAAGTAGTGAATCGAATCATAGATTAGGCTACATGTTTTTTAGCAGTTTTACAGTATATATATATCAGTATTGAGTTAAAACGGCAAATAACAAACGTTGCCAATATTATACATCTGTATCCGACACATCTTGGTTGGTTAGTTTTTTGTTTTTGTTAGTACATAATGTCTTCAATATTAAACTGTAATAGCATGCTCACATATCCAATCTGTGAACGAATGTGCAAACGCTAACTAGACTTCGATGGAATCATTAAAAGCAACCAAACTTTTATCAGAAAATGCACCGTCCTGAATTATATTAGTCACTGGTTGTATGCACGTGTTACTGGTCTTCAAAACTGCAGATTATTAAACGGTCCCTCTTTCGATTCGGTGCACTATTTGAAATTCAGAGTTTTAATAGCTATTTTAACTATCACTTTAAACTACTTCTCATTTACTTAAGAGTCAGTGTTTTTGAAACTAGTTCTCCTTTACTTGAGAGTCAATGTTTTTGAAACTAGTTATCCTTTATTGAGAGTTAGTGTTTTTGAAACTAGTTATCCTTTATTGAGAGTTAGTGTTTTTGAAACTAGTTCTCCTTTATTGAGAGTTAGTGTTTTGAAACTAGTTATCCTTTACTTGAGAGTCAGTGTTTTTGAAACTAGTTATCCTTTATTGAGAGTTAGTGTTTTTGAAACTAGTTATCCTTTATTGAGAGTTAGTGTTTTTGAAACTAGTTATCCTTTATTTAGAGTCAGTGTTTTGAAAATAGTTATCCTTTACTTGAGAATTAGTGTTTTTGAAACTAGTTCTTCTTTATTGAGAGTTAGTGTTTTTGAAACTAGTTATCCTTTATTGAGAGTTAGTGTTTTTGAAACTAGTTATCCTTTATTGAGAGTTAGTGTTTTTGAAACTAATTCTCCTTTATTGAGAGTTAGTGTTTTTGAAACTAATTCTCCTTTATTGAGAGTTAGTGTTTTTGAAACTAGTTCTCCCTTACTTGAGAATCAGTGTTTTTGAAACTAGTTATCCTTTATTGAGAGTCAGTGTTTTGAAACTAGTTCTCCCTTACTTGAGAATCAGTGTTTTTGAAACTAGTTCTCCTTTACTTGAGAGTCAATGTTTTTGAAACTAGTTCTCCTTTATTGAGAGTTGGTGTTTTGAAACTAGTTCTCCTTTTCTTGAAAATCAGTGTTTTTGAAACTAGTCCTCCTTTACTTGAGAGTCAGTGTTTTTCTGAATATGTTTTTCTACTCTGTGTTTAAGAAATGAGTTCTACTAAGACGATCGCTTTTATTTTCAGTGTCAATCTTGAAGTAACTATTTTGCCCTTAATTTACGACCTGAGCTTCGATTTTATTTTATTTTTTGCTTTTGCTCTAGTTAAATGTCAGTGTTTATATATATAACCGCTTTAGTGTACGTCTAAATTTGTAATTATAATGCTTTGTTGAAAATCTGACTTATCGTGTTTCCATGGATACTATAATACTTTAGAAGGTTTGTTGAGTAATCATGTTCCTATGACTACCACGACACAAAAGAAGAGTCGTTTCGATGCCTTATAGTTATAAATTGTTCTCGTCTTCGGTAACTTTTATCTTATTAATAGATAATGTAATAAATGAAAGCAGTGATGGACTTGAAATACTTCAAAATCAATATATATTCATATTCGTGTATATTGTAACTAGCTTTCCAAAGACATCAGTTCTACAAAATGATAGTAAATAAGAATGTATCAATATCTAAAGAATCTTTTTGAAACGACTTTTATTTTCTATCTCAGGTTACCGAAGAAACGGCTCGAATTCTCATGGATTGTGGCTACGAATGCGAGTGTCGAGGTCTAGTCAAGGTGAAAGGAAAAGGAAACCTCACCACGTACCTCGTGAAAACTCAGTTTGATAAGTTTGACGAAGACGTTCCCTCGCGGCTCTGATGAGTTATAAAAATAAAACCGAATTTCACTGTGGGAAAGGAAGTAGATCAAAGGATAAGTTCACTAAAAAAGAAATTTCAACAGCTTACTAGAAAATTAAACCCATTTTGGGGGATCTACAGATTCACTTGACAAGGCAGAGCGAAAAAAGAACTAACATAAAAATGTAAGGCAGACTGATTTCTCTTTTGACAGTTCCGATGGTAAGAATATGGAGCATTGTGTAAAAACTTAGTAAAGAAGCTTTCAAACTGTACAGCAGAAGGTCTGAGACTGAAAATCATTATTTCGACTGACAACAAGTGGTAAGAAGAGAAAAGAACAGGATTGTAATATAATTCTGTCAACACAAACTACACGTGATCACATTATGAGCTCTAGGTTACCATCGTCTCACCAGAGGGTTCAAACGCTTCGCTTTAGGTATTTTCAAGGTGGCAGATGTTGCGAAAATTCTCGGAAATTAACTTCAACTTTGACTTGATAGAGCGTAAGTCTTAAAAAGAAATACAGTTTTTTTTCAAATCAAGACAGTTATATAAATATTAAAAAATATATTTATTCTCTAACGCGTTTTCGAGGACAGCTATTAAATCGAAATTGAAATAAACTATCGCGTCTGGTTAAATTAAATAATAAATTTGAAGCTTTGCTGTCTGCAATAGCCCCAGTCATCTTATGGTATAGGCTTTTCGGTACTTGTACGTTGCAAGAAAGGCTCACGCTTGATGTCTTAGGCCTAATTAGTACCTGCAACAGTTCCTTAGCTAAGATTTTACTCGATTAATGGCATTAGTTATTAATGTAAGTCTTGCTATTGTCTTATTATATGTAAGTATTCTGCAATTCAATCAAAGTTTGTTTGTTTTTCTCCTTGTTCACGATATATATATATATATATATTTAATCTTTCTTTTTATGACAGCTAAAATCGAGAAAGTGAACCATATGTATGTGTCTACGTATGTGTGTTTGTTTTATAACGGAAATGTATTTATCATTTATCACAACATATCTTACAAAAAGTTATTATCTGACTGTCAATAAGTCTGAATGAATGAGTATATCCATTTTCGAAGCAGAGCTGATAAAGAGCGATGAGAAAGGGGTAGTTAACAGCTCTTAAGGTTTTACAGTTTTATCGACAAACACTGCTTTTAAGGTTTTAAAGCCATTATCAACTAAAATGTGCAACTATATATTATGAGCAGATAGTTAGCACTGAAAGTAGAGACTATAAACTTCTAGTTTACTTTAGAGCTTTAAGAGTTTTTGAAACGCTCGATATCTATTGAATATTACCAGTTCCAGTGTTTTCAGACGGTCTAAGTAAATATCAATTACAGTGTCTAGGTGTTAGGTGTCGTTAATTGTAGCTTATGGTATGTAGTGGAAAGCGTTATTTATAGTAGCGGTTCTTTTTTTTTCTTCGTGTAGTTGTTCTTATCAACCAACTAACCTGAAATATACTACTGTATATATTGACTTGCGTGACTTAAGACCTTTCAACCCTTGAGGAACATAAGTCATTCTCTGATCTTCTCCATAGTTATGGGCCAGTCTCTCCAGTTCTTTCTAGGAGAATACTAATTCCCTTAAGTCTGCCTTTACTACCTCCAGCTGTTCCTAGGCCTACCACGGTTTCTTTTACCGGGAGAATTCCAAATTAGTATCACACATGCTTCTAAATTTTATTGTTTCTAACAATTCACAAATATTTTCAGTAGTCATACGATGAGATTAATAGTATTATCCCAGAAATTATTTGTTGTGTTGTTTTCACATGTTCTGCTATGGCTGAATTTTCAATTTAATTTTTCCTTAATGTTCTTGTAATCTGTATTTAACTTCGTCTTAGTTTGACTAATATAAATATTATCACATTCTCTGTTATAAATCCCATTTTCATCTGATAAATATATATTTTCTCTTTTGTATCACCCAAACTTTGTATAATCTTATTTATAGATTTGAAAATAGGATACAATTTTTGTTGTTTCTTAAAAATATTAAATAATTGATCCGTTAATCCTGTAACATAAGGTAAGATTAAAGCTACTTTTTAGTTTTATCACAACATATTTTAACATAGTACTTTAACCAACATTGAGCGATTATTAAACTTATTACAAGCTCTATCAATTTTGATTGAATCCCCTCTTAAATTCTACAAGTTTAAATAGTAATAACAATTAATTACTTAAATTTTCTTGTTTAATGTATATCTTCAAATCTTTGTAAACATAAGTATTATATGCAATGATCTAGTATGACACATTCGTCTTTGATAAACTGGTGTTTCTAAATTATCATACGTGTCTTTTTTTTAACGAATACGTCTGGAAATGATAAACTATTATTTTTTATCAGTTACAAATATAAATTGAATTCAGGTTCGAACTATTGAAACAATTAGCATTTTTTTAAACTTAATGTCGCCTAACCGCCATACCAAGAATCTGCCGTCTGCATATCGAATCTAAGCATTTGGTTTAAGTATTCCATTACCAAACGCTTAAGTTTGAAACACATCCATGTAAAGATTACATAACAAAGGTGAAAGGGGGGACCACATAATTCTAAAGGTCACAACAAAGGTGAAAGTGGGGAACCACACAGCTGTAAAGGATAAATAACAAAGATAAAGAGGAGGGATCACATAACTGTAAAGGACACATAACAAAGGTGAAAGGTGGGCTACACAGCTGTAAAGGTCACATAACAAAGATTAAAGTTGGCCACACAGCCGTAAAGGTCACAAAACAAAGGTGAAAGGAGGACTACATAGTTCTAATGGTCACAACAAATGTGAAAGGGGAGAACATACAGCTGTAAAAGTCAAATCATAAAGATAAAAGAGAGGGATCACATAACTGTAAAAGACACATAACAAAAGTGAAAGATGGGATCACATAACTGTAAAAGACACATAACAAAGGTGAAAGATGGGATCACATAGCTGTAAAGATCAAGTCACAAAGATAAAAGGGGGACTACACAGCTGTAAAGGTCACATAACAAAGGTGAAAGGAGGAACCACATAGTTCTGAAGGTCACAACAAAGGTGAGAAGGGGAACACACAGCTGTAAAGGTTATACAACAAAGCCGAAGGCGCATATCTATTCTTCATTTTGTTTGTAAAACTTTTGATTAATTTAAATAATCCGTTCTTAACACACACTTTTGTTAAATTCAATATATCCAAAATTTGATCTACTGCAATTGTATTTTCTACTATATACATATATATGAATACTCAGAAGTAGAGAAAACCTATTTTTAACATTTGATGTTTGTATGATTTTTGAGCATGTACTGAATTCTAACCAGTTCTATTCTTTAATATTCAAGCATAACTATCACTGAGAATAATCGTCTAAGCTAGTGGAGTTTCAATGTGTATGTGGAGTATGTTTGAAGTACCTTTAACTCATTTTAAATAATGAAATGTATCGAACATTGAGTACCGAACGTTACGTAGAAACAATGTTATTTCTAATTTAACGATTTAAGGATGTCATTATCGAATAAAATTGTGTTAAGTTATCATATCACGACCAAAATAGTGTATAAAGAAAAGCAGGGCCCTCACAATCAAAAGAACATACTTTCGAAACGTTATGTATAGAATAACAGTATAGTCTATCAAAATGAAGTATATACAAACAAGAATGTCAAAGACAGAAAATACTGTATGGAAAAAAAAAGTTAATCCTCTTGTAACAATGTGTGTAAAAATAAGTGTCATTAACGTCGTATGTAAAGATTTTTGACCTCTTTGTAATAACGTGTATAAAGATAGATGTCATTATCGTCGTGTATGAAAAAAAAGATGAACTCCTGTGTAATAATGTGTATAAAAATAGATGTCATTGTCGTCGTGTATAAAAATAGATGTCATTATCGTCGTGTATAAAAAAAAGATGAACTCCTGTGTAATAACGTGTATAGAAATGGATGTCATTATATCTTCGTGTATAAAAAAGGTTAACCCCTTTGTAATAATATGTATAAGACTAGATGTCATTATCGTCGTATATAGAAAAAGGTTAACCCCCTGTGTAATAATGTGTATAAGACTAAATGTCTCTAACAACGCGCCAAAGTTTTACTTTTTGATCTAAATCCCTATAAATAAAAAATATATTTGCTTTGAATGCCTACTTCATAAGTGTTTTGTTAATAATCTACATAAAATTATTAACGACACACATACGCTTTATAGGGGAGACCGGGGCTGGTTGACTCACCAGCAAAAATAAATCACTTTCCTCTTTGCTATTTTTCTCAGAAATGAACATAATAGAAAAGTGTACACTGTGTCAATCTACCCCGAGTACTGGGCAGGTTGACACACGCTCCAGGGTAAGTTGACACGAATAATATTAAATCAAAAACACTTTACTTATATCAATGTATTTATTATGCATTTAAGTAAATGAAATAAAAAACGCTTTAACTGTTTCTCACCATAATGCCCACAAACAGAAAACAGCTTAGAAAAAATATCCCCCAAAAGTAATGGTTTGTTTGAAGTTAAGCACAAAGCTACACAATGGGCTATCTGTGCTCTGCCCACCACGGGTATCGAAAGTGAGGAGATGTAGAAGTCGAGTCGAGAAACTTAGTAAAAATGGCAAAGCAATTGCATCACTTCTTGTTCAGAGCAGACCATTTTACAGTAGAGATGTGATAAAGATTTCTACGGTCTGAGCTTGGTACATTTAATTCCTTAAATTTAATAATAGTCTTGAATTATGCTTCTACGGAAAACTATATTCTACATCAAGAAGCAAGAAATATCCTAAAAATATTTTAATTATGAAATACTTCTCTAGTTCAAGATTAAGCGCTTATTCTAAACCGATTATAAACCGGAAATTAATATCATGTGAATCAGAAAAGAAAGGGAAACTTAAACAGTAGCAATATCTTTATTGTAACTGGATATTTTATTACTGTATATTTTGATTATTACGGGAAACAACCCGAAATGCTTACCATTTTCTTTACAATGTTTGACTTGTAGAATATTGTTGTGATGTGAGTTTTGTTCAAACTCAACCATTTCCAATTGCTACTGCATTAACGATATTGGGTTGTTCTATAAAATATTTTTATTTTTCAATTTATAGGAAAGTTCAATGAATTTGGTTTGCTTTTGAACCACTAAGTGAGCATGCCAAGTTTGGTCTGGATCGGCCAACTCGTTCAGGAGGAGATACGTCCACAAACAGACAGAAAGTTTTCCTTCATGATGTTAGAAGAACACGTAGGTTCAAGAAGTCTTGACAGATATGACTAAAACCCCTATAACCCGAGCGCTTTCGAAAGGCGAACCTTTCTTCTTCAGGGGCAAACCCAGGGTTTTTATTCATTTCTATAATTACCGCATCGGTATGGTTTAATATGTACAGCGCATATGTGAAGAAAGTCTGTACCCAGATTTTTATACTCACCTCTGCCGGCAGAACTGGACAATTAAAACAACCAAAAATATAGTGAAATTATTTAAATATAATTAATATATCCATATGCTTTTAGGTTCTGTTTCTGCAGCCTGCCCCCCCCCCCAGTGGCACAGCGTTATGTCTGCAGACTTTCAACGCTAGAATCCGGGTTTCAATACCCGTGGTGGGCAGCGCACAGATAGCCCATTATTTAGCTTTGTGCTTAATTACAGACAAAGAAACAAACAAACTGCAGCCTGCTACTTGGTGACCTACGCACATA